ATCACGTTTAGCCAATGAGAGTGCACCGTGAGATGCCACATACAGCTAGATGCATATTTGTTTGTGTGTTTACTTGATATTGTTATAAAGGCCAGTAGTAAAATCAAGAATCCCCTCTTTTACTCATGATAACGAAAAGTTCCTTACTATTAACAACCATCAAAATACTCGGGAAAATGTTTGGCTTCAACAAGTTAAGTTAAAGCTAACCTGGTTATATGTACCTTGGTTAAAGACATGAAAAAAAAGCTGGCAGTTTATTTACGACCCTTTAACAAAATCAAAATCTCCATGGCAACATCCCTAACACTTTAACAAGAAACCTATTTGAGCCAAAGACTTACCATTGTATATGTACTGATTCTTGATCTTTCTTATGACTCTTCTGTCTACATTTAACAGTACAATTACAACCAATGTGAAGAACGAAACTAAAACGAGACCTCTTGGGCTTTTTATCCACCTGCAAAGAAAAGAATCATTATAATATAAACTGCTTAAGTGTGTTTATAGGTTTGCATGTACTTCTGTAAATTATAATAAAAAAATTAAAAAAAAATGTGTGCGCTCGTGTGTACCTGTGTGTGCAGTCAAGTTTCAAAGACCATGATTGAAAGCCCCCCCCACCCCCCCACCCCGCCCCACAACCACACACACAACTCACATAACTCACAGAAAACGTAGCGTCAGGCATTGTGATTCCCAAGTTCCTTCGCAATGAACGGTTTAATACGTTCAAGATAACATAGACATCAGCTTTACCGTGACATGTTATTATTTACGGACCAATTAGACGATCTGGCAACTTTCCCTCCAACATCTCTCGGTTCCTATGTTTACAGTCATCTCATACCCATCACAAAAAGTTTAATAGATTTGATTTTAGTTACTGAGTTTTCTATGCCCGAAATTCGATAATGGAAACAGAAATTAAATGCGTATGGGTAATGTAGAAAAAAACTAAATATTTATTGAATTCAGCTACAGCATTTAGAAATATAATACCGGTGCTTGAATAATGGAAAAGGGATTGGACTGGAATATTCGAGAGTCGTATACGCGAATGAGGAAAATATACATGCATTAGATTTCTGATACATACATATACATACATACATGCATACATACATACATACATATATATATATATGTGTGTGTGTGTGTGTGTGTGTATGTGTATGTGTATGTGTGCGTGTGTGTGTGTGTGTGATATATATGTGTATGTAATATACATATGTGTGTGTGTGTGTGAAAAGTTAAAAGAGCCACAGTAAGAAATGAAAATAAATCGTGACGTTTCGAACACTTCACGAGTTCCTCTTCGGACGAATGATAAACCGAAATGGTATCCATTTCGGTTTCATACTCGTCTAAGTCTGTTTTCCTTTTCACACACATACAAATATAGATAGATAGATAGATAGATATAAATATATAGATAGATAGATATAGCTATAGATATTTGTGTATGTGTGTGTGTGTGCGCAAGCGAGAATATATAAAACACCCATATATCCGCGAATCACACACACACGCATACACACGCACACAAACACACACACACACACACATACACATTCACACACACACACACACATATATACACATGCATATATATATATATATATATATATATATATATATATATATATATATATATATATATATACATATATATATACATATATATATATATATATATATATATATATATATATATATATATATGTATGTATATATATGTATATATGTATGTATATATGTATATATATGTATGTATGTATGTATATATGTATATATATGTATGTATGTATGTATATATGTATATATATGTATGTATGTATGAACACAGACACAGTAACGTGTACACGAAGATGAAAAGGAAAAACACCCGCAGTAAGAAATGAAAATAAATTGTGACGTTCCGAATTCCTCACGAGTCCCTCTACGGGAGAACAATAAACCGAAATGGATACCATTTGTGTGTGCGTGTGTGTGTGATTGTGTCTGTGTGTATGTGTGTGTGTATGTGTATGTGTGCGCAAACGAAAATATTTAAAACACGCATATATCCGTCAATCAAAGCTCTTTTATTTTAATTTTCTGTCTAAACTATATCAAAATTAGAGCTTACTTCAACACCAAATCCATTTTCCGAGGCTTCGCGGGTCTTATTATCACCTGTCTCTCTAACGGTTCGAGGAGTACTGAGGAGTCGGATGCCAGTTAAATTATTTTCAGACAAGTGTAACATGTTTGTACACAGGTGTTGGGCAAAAAAAAAAACAGGTGTACAACGAAAGGTTTAATCTCCTAACGGCCCTTTCTTATCCCACCTCCTTTCTTTATCTCTCTCCCTCCATCCCATTCTTTCTCTCTCTTTTTTTCTCTTTCTCTGTCACTTCCTATCTGTTTATCCGTTTCTTTGTCCATCTATCTACCATGACAACAACAAAATAGTAATAATGAATATGAGAATATATTATTACTATTATCATTATTTATAATTTTTATTACTTAGTATGTATTACTAGCTTGGCTCAACGCTATTGTTAGTGCTTTTATTCTTCGTTGTTGTGTGAAGATCAGCTGATTTTATGCATGCACATAAGCATGCCATGGACAAAGAAAAAAAAATAAGGTGTAGGGCGAAAAGGTTTGAAAATTGATTACTATCTTATTCACGCCATGTTGGAACAATTCCATATACACCTGGAGAACAACGTGGCAAATTACCCGCCTTGTCCAACACACCTTCAGTTTGACGAGAGTATATAACAGGTGTCAGCCAACATCTGGTCTTTTATGCCGAGCGAACACAAGTTTTTTTTTTCTTTCTTTCTTTCTTTTTTTTTAGAAAAAAATATTACCCTATCTTTACAACGGTTTGGCAAACTAAATATAGTATACGTAGCCAGTAAGCTCTGTTAGCTAGGAGGTGTATCAATTTGAAGGAATTGTGTTGCTCACTCCTCACAATTCGTAAAATTCATATACAAGTTATTTCATTAGTCCAAAAAAATATTCTTTTTAAATAACTGTGTAGGAATGTCCAGCAGTGTTCGCCAATCAAAATGAACTTCAGCTCCTCGACCTAACAAAGGGCGTGGCATGAACTCCACAGAATATCCGTGGGCCGGATAAACATAATGCATAATTATATTTCATTGAGAATATTAGTTTCCCTAAGGAAACTAATAAGACCTTCTATGTCAAAATCCTCCCCCAATACATTTTTCAGTGTATATGGGGGAGACAAGTACCTTCCTTTATATTTCCACTACATGTGCGACCGTTAATGGCTCTTGGCATTCTTCACAGTGTGCTTCACTTTTAGCCATCATTGGCCCATGAGTCAGTCTTGTGCACCCGATTCTCTGCCTCATTAATACAACTTCTACTTGTTGGTTGGGATGGATGCTGGTCACCCACCTGCCAAGGTCATCTCTAATCTCCCGCAGTTTGTTTCTAGAGGTATGCCTCCATTGTTCCCTCCATTTATCACGAAGACAACTCCTGATGCTGGGTTTCAAGTCAGTGTGTGGGAGAGGAAAACGAGTATCACAGGACTGAGCGGCAGCTGCCTTGGCCTTCCGATCAGCTCGTTCATTCCCACTGATATCAACATGCGCTGGCACCCAACATAGACTTATCTCTTTACGTGATGACAACAGTGCAAGCCAATCTTGAACCTCCCTCACCACTGAATGTGATGAGTTTAAACTCTTGATTGCTTGCAAGGCACTACGAGAATCACAATATATTACAATAGACTTGTTCGTCAGATCTCTAGTCATCTTGACTGCTGCAAGGATGGCATGTAACTCTGCAGTGAAGATCGAGGCTGATAAAGAAAGACTGCCAAATGCAGTCTTCCTTCTGCTCACTGCTGCAAAGCCCACACCATTTTCAGATTTTGAACCATTAGTATATATTGCATCTGATCCTTGGTACTTAGAAGTGTGTTGAAGAAATCTCTCTCTGACTTCTGCTTCAGATCTCTCCCCTTTCCCAATTCCGACCAAATCCAAATCCAGCTCGACTTGATTGGTGAATAAGCCTCACATCCATAGTCAAGTTTACTACGAATAAGTGCTCGGTAAAGCCGCATAAGCATTGTGCAGTCTGCACCCCAAGATAGGTGTGAAAGAACCTGTAAAATACTAAGTGCTTTTGTAGTTACCTTTTTGATGTGAGGCACCCTTGTAAGCCTGGAGTCAAAAATTAGACCCAAGTACTTCACCTCTTCGACAAAATGCAGTGGGTTTGCTCCTAAATAGAGGGAAGGATGGAATTTTCCTCGTTTATGGAAATGCATAGCCATGGTTTTGCTTGGAGAAAATTTGAACCCATGGTATGTTGCCCATTGTACTATCAGATTTATTGCAGTCTGCATGTTTCCTTGCACATCCTGTAAGCTTCCTCCTGAGCAGTACAGTGTAAAGTCATCCACATACAGACTACATGAGACAGCACTTGGAACGACCTTTACAATGTCATTTATAGCAATGGCAAACAGGGGCACACTTAAGACACTCCCTTGTGGGACCCCTTCCAGCTGTTCTTCCAGGTTAGAGAAACTGTTTTCCATCCTCACTCTAAATTTTCTGCCGGCAAGGAAGCTTTGTATGAAGGTAGGTAATGCTCCTCTTAAACTAATGTCATATAGCTTCATGAGTATACCATGCTTCCAAGTAGTATCATAAGTCTTTTCAAGGTCAAAGAAGACTGCTAACATGTGACGTCGCTGTGTGAAGGAATTCTGTGTAGCTGTTTCCATCCTCACAAGTGCATCTGTGGTCGATCTAAATTTTCTAAACCCATATTGATATGGGGTCAGCATGTTTTCCTTTTCTAGCAGCCATGTCAACTTAAAGTTTACCATTTTCCCCATCAGCTTGCAGATACAACTGGTGAGAGAAATTGGTCTGTAATTCCCTGATATGGATGCATCCTTGCCAAGTTTAGAGACAGGAATGATTATAGCTTCTTTCCATGTGGATGGCACTGTTCCCTCCCTGTAGATCCTATCGAATAGCTCCAATAGGAACGTCTGGGAGCTCTCCGGTAAGTGAGATATCATTTGGTATGGAATTTCGTCACTTCCTGGGGCACTCTTACAGCAGAGCTGCAAAGCAGAGTCCATCTCCTTCCGCAAAAATGGCAATTTGTACGGAAGTTTTGCTGCAGTGCTACTGAAGAACGAAATTGG